TGATTAAAGATGAGATGGAGTGCTGAGGTCAGTGTAAAAAATATTTAAAGATGGAGACATAGAGGAAGGAGAGAGCAGAGGGAGGATTAGTAAACATTTGATCATAAATTTAGACAGAATAAATGTACAAGTGAAGACTTTGCAGGATACTTTGTTCCAGAGTGGTACATTGTTCTTTTTTTATAGACTGTTCAACATAAAAACAAGCCAAGAATACAGAGCAAAGAGTGAGAAGAGGACAGCTATTTAACACAACTGGGTATTGTAGAAGTGCACCATGGAGGTGGAGAGTAGACTGAAGGAGAGACTAATTCCACTGCACCAATGCTGATGGATGGACTAAAGGAACCTTATTTTACCTTATAAATTTTTTATTCCTAGATCCTCCAAACTATTAACTGCTTCCCCTTTGTTCCTCTACTCTTCCTCTCTTCCTCTCCCCTCACTCAACCACTTCTAAGCTCTCTGCTGGGATGAAACTTTTAGAACTGCTCCGACTTTCTTCTTAGTCAGCATGTTCTCAAAATTACAGCTAAAGCTTTGACAAGTTCAGTGTGAACCGGCATGCACACGATGAAACCCTGGACAGTACCGTAAACTACACTCCATTTCCACCTAATGCATGCACGCCTTGTGTTTGTTCTGTTTATCTGCACGCGGTGACAGCTACAGATTCAAACAGTTTTGTGACATAGTTCCAGGGTTGGATTTGATTTGGTCTGTATGACTTCTTCGTGTAATCAGAGTTTTTTTCTTTAATGTGTGCTTTACTTGACTGCAGCCAGTCACCGCCAGGAGCTAATCAAGATGATTTGGCTTAACAATGCTTTGGGAACCAAATATGACAAAAGCAGCCCAGCTTAAAAAATTAACAATATATTTTTTTTATTGCTTTAGATTGAGCCAAACAGCTGCCTTGGCCATCCTCATAGAACCAAAGGATTGTGTCTTTGTTGAAGAATTTGTAAGTAAATTATGTGTGTGTGTGTGTGTGTGTGTGTGTGTGTTCATCTTTTACATGTTCACTTGTTGTGGTGTGGTTTGAGTTCCACATGCTGCTGTTCGGTTTCCAAATTTGTGCCAAGTCAACATGGGCAAGTCCATGAAACACAGAATGCTCACAAGTATCACATTCAGATCCTATTTGATTTGATCCAGCAGGACAAACTTTTTTTAATTATTTTTCAAAAAAACATACCGAACTCCCTTAATGTCCTGAAACACCTTCCGCTGTGAATTCCAATGTTGAACTGTTGAGTCTCCCCTCGAACACAGCCCCTTCATTCACACTCTGCTTTCAGAGTGCGTGTGTGTCGCAGCAATTAACAGGAACAACATTATAGAGCTGGAGAAGCTTTCCATCAACTTCTTCCAGAAAGCACCTCTGAGACAGGAACCTTTGCTTTGCCACCAGAACTGTGTGTGTTACCGGAGCTTTTTCATTGATTTACTACTGCAGTGAGAATATTCCTCCCACTAGTGACAATAAAGTTTAAGTGAAGTCAAGTGTGAGCGCTGGTGCATGAGGGTTTGAGAGAAGCAGCTTGCGTGTGCCTGTGTTTTCATCAGGTTCCTCCTGCTGTGTACCCAAACGTTTCAAGGTTCTGCTTAAGTATGACACTGACAGCTGAGAACAACTGTGTGCTTTCTGTGTTTTTCTGTTTATATTACACCCGGGCGATGATGAATACGTGTCTTCTCCCCCTGCTTTTTTTTTTCCTGACAACTGAGGATCTATTCATGGCTGACTCACTCAAAAGAGCAGAGAGCAAGAGAGTGTGTGGGTTTTTTGGATATCTGTCACTCACTTCTGTTGCTTTATTCCATGGGTGGGAATTAGATTTGACAAAGTTGAGCTCAATATTAATGTGATCACAGGAGGATTTTGCTGCTGCCAAGATTTCTTCTCCCCTCAGCTCAGAGTAGGGTCTAGTGTTGATCTTGCTTGGCTCGGAAGGCTACGATTCATGACTCGTGTTAACTCGATGAAAGTTCCACATGATTAATGGAAACATACATTAAACATTCCTCTTTCTCCTTACACTTTCACAACTCTGCACTTCCTCTCTAACCATTATCAGATGTAAACTCTGGGATGTCCTGAAGATCGGGTCCAAACTTTCTCCGCTCAGACGCGTTGACAGCAACACAGAAATCTCTGGAGTCTTATGAGGTGTGGTGCAGGATGCAACAAATAAATACCACTGTGGAAATCATAGGCTTTTTTTTTTATAGCACAACAATACTGGTGTTGGCCCTTATCACTTAAAGCTCCCTTGACATCTTTGTTGGTGTCTTCTATGTGTATGAGATATTTATATTCTTTATATTCTGTCCTGTGTTGGAGACATCATCAACACAGGAGGCTCTCTCTTGATCTCCATAGATTCTCTTGAGTTCAGTGCATGTCTGAAACCAGCTATAGTTTCTCCTCAGCAATATCTCCCCTGCCCTCTCCTGCCTTGCATCACCTCATCCATCCATTTCTCCCCTCAATTCCCTGCCCTCACACTTCCTCCCCGTTTCTCCTCTTTCTAGGTTATTTGAAGAATGGTCGTAATGAGCTGCAGAGGCTGTTGATGGTGTGCCCGCCGTCAGAGCCGCCGCCGTATCTCCTTGTGCCTCACCTCCTTCACTGTTAACAACCTCAGCACTTGCTTTGTGGATCCCGCTCTCTGCTGCTCTACAAGCTGTGAGTGTCAGCTATTATTCCATCAGTCCCTGTTGTTCTTCTCCATGTGGCCATCTCTCTCTCTCCCCCTCTCTCTGTGTCTGGTTCTCTGACTGAGCCCTCCCACCCACACACACACACACACAACACCATAAGCCCCTATTTGATTGACTCTAATGGCTAAAATGGCCACCAGACTTAGGCGATGTCACTATTCTGCCGCAATACTTAGTCGTTGAGTTAAAGTGGAAACCTGCTTCAATTTTAAAGAAATGTTTCCCTCTTCTAATTTGTGTAGTTCTATTTGCTTATGGCCCACTTGAAAACCGTTTCTCAAAATCCCAACACAGAGTTACTGTTAGGTGTCGAGTGAGTTGCACAGTGTTGGCTCATCCATTTTCCACTTTCTTTCTCCGTCTTGCTGACTCTTCCCTCTGTCCTGTCCCCACAATGTGGAGGAATCCACCATCAGGTCGCCTCTGATCTACGTGCTGTCTCCTGGGGGCTGCACCGGGGCCCTGTTGCATCTGGCTGAGGCCTCTGGCATGAGGAAGCACTTCTATCCTCTCTCTCTGTTGCAGTCTCTCCCTCTGGACGAGGGACAGGCCCCCATCGCCAAGAGCATGATCGAAGAGGGCGTCATAAACAGCACAACAACAATTTCTCTATCTTTTCTCCTTCCCACTCGTCTCTCTCTGTTTGTTCTGCGTGTTAGTCATGCTTTTTTTTATTCCCCGACAAGTGTTTCTTTCAGGATCAAGTGTCATTTGCTGTTGACAAAGTGCACAAAATACTTGATGAATATTGGATTGATTTGGTTTATTCAGATGAATCTTTCCATCCCTGTATCGACCCACTGCTTTCCAGCTCTCTCATGCTCATCAGCATGATTTGCAGCTGTTTCTTCTGCCAGTGGAGGCCTCACTGTCACTTTTTATGGTTTGTTGCCTCTCAGACACGCCTCTCTGTAACGAGGGAAATGTCACTGTTATACATCAAGCAATTTGTTTGCCTGGGAAATTTGATTTTTATTGTCTTTCCTTTGATTCATTTCAAACCTTCCATGTCCCTTTTCTATGCCTTAGATGCATAACAGTTACCCATAATGCCTTGGGTACTGATAAATTGAAATGTGCTATGCTTAAAGTCATTATACAAATGTTAACCAATAGTTGGGGTTTTGCCATCCCACTAATACCTAAAGCCTGCATCATACTGCCCGCATGAGCCGCACAGCTCCTTTGTTTGAGCAGCGCTGCTCTTCTAAAGAGTCGGTTTGACCTTGAAACCTTCGAGAGATATTGACCATCTCGTCCTATATTCTGAAATTTTCAACACTTTCTGAACCTCTTGCTCTCTGGCTTTCAAGGTTCATGTTGTTGTTATTGCACGATGTGCGGGTTCATACCATAAAGTCCTGGGATTTACTTGAGTATACAGGCCTTCTTCTATGTAAGGAAATACAGTTGTCATACCAGAAACCTACCGAAGCAGCTCAGCAGATCAGTGACGCTACGTGCCCATATCTCTGACTCTTTCAGACTTTTTCCTCCTTGTCTATGGCACCAGCTTCTTGTTGTTTTTTAATTATTTCCATCACCATGCTTGAAAGTAAATGGCGAGTTTGATCAAACTTGTCCTGGCGTGTGCAGTAACCCTGCCTTCACCTCTACACTCTACAAAATTCTGTGCATTTCACACCTGATTGACTCATTAGGTCTCTAATTAGGTCTCTCATCAAGCTTAGATTAAGTCAAAACTATAAGCTACTTAAAATAAAACACCACGTCACAAAAAAAAAATCAAGGCCCAAACTAACAACATTATGGATGACAATAACACTGCCCCCTGTCTTCATGATGTGAAAGCCAATGTGAATGAACATGGCCTCTTTATCCTTTCTTTTCATAGCATCCTACTGGAAATGAACCTGTTTCTACAGATGGGCTGGAACATAATCTATGACTTTAACGATGCTGACCTTAAAGACAGGGACTCATCTGATACTAAAGGTGCACCGTTTAACAGTGACGGCCATCAATCCAGTGAAGACTTTGATTATGATGTGATGGTGATTGAGTGCAGTTTATGCCTGCATGTCAGTAATCTGCTCTAAACCACAGATATAGACTTTAAGTCAAGCAGAAAGGCCAGTTAATACCATGTCAGAGTAAAGGCCGATTAGACTGATGGATAATGACGATCTAGTTGAAGTGCACAAGAAGGAACAGTACTTAAAGCCTTTGTAAAAATGTCTGTCTCCATTCTCTCTTTACAGTTTCTGTCTAGTCCTTTCAGACTCGATTGCTCGCCTGTGACTCGCGTTTCAAAGTCATTGTGTTAAAATCATCGTCTTGATGAATCTGCTGAGTCTGTGCCTGCATGAGTACGAGGAGACTCCCTGGGATGCGCCGAATTATCTCATTGCTGGGGTCGTCTATGGAGGTCATGTCACTGATGACTGGGACAGACGTCTTCTAACTACATACATCAATGACTGCTTCTGTGATGCTGCCATCACGCAGCCCTTCTTCAAGTGAGACACACACACTGACTCACACTGTTCTGCCACAGCCTTTCATATATCGGCAAGTTTCTTTATGTATGTAATACTGCAGTTTAACTTCAGTGATTGTCGATCCCTCCGACTATACTGACATTTAAATACCCACTATAAAGGTGCTAAATTCAAAATGTACACTGCTTTACACAAATGAGTGAATGCATGTATTTGCGTCAAAATGCATAATTTCCACTGATATAAAAACACATTTTTTCTGAGAAAGCGCACTGCGGCTGCACTCAGCCGACAGAGGCCTCTCCAACTCCCCGCTGAAGCTTGTTGAGGTGGCGGAGTGCTAGCACCACCACGTGGACAATCAGATGACATTATCCCGAGAAATATAGACACAGTGGCAGCCTGATGAACACTGACAGGAACACTAAGTCCTTGCTTTTCTTCATTTAATCACTTACACGAATCCACACAGGCACCCGTGTCCACTAACTTCATTTCTATCCAAACACTCTGAAGAGATTTAAGTTCGCTAGAGCTGATAAAATACAATTTCTTATTTACAAAAGGGAAGATAAATTGAGGTGTTTTTTTTTGTCACCTGATCCAGCTGTAATGGAGCAATGAAGTTGTGAAAGCACTTGAATAATTGAGCTTGTAAACAGTGAAAACCCTCATTATGAACATTAGAGGGAACCATCTTGTTATTGATTTGACTTAATTATAAATTACTTATTTTTACTGGGATAAGATGAATAATAAAATCTAAATATCCAAAAGGAATTGAAGTGAAAAGAAAAATATAGATATAAAGATTTTTTTTCTCTTTTTACAAAACTTTTGACCAGCATATGTCCAGGTATTTACCTGCATATATCTGGATTTGCCTGTACCTGGACAGCTGTGTTGTGGTGGGATGACAATCTTTTACATTTGTGTGTTGAATCCTGATCTTTTTGTTTTAATAATAGCTCGCTGAGAGGCTTTGGCCAGTGTCAATGTTTGGAATGTTTGGAAGTTATCTTTGGTGGTGTGTGTGTCACATGCTGTCAATCAGAAGATTAATGGGACACTCAGAGGTTTACTTATGTAATTCTTTGCTGCTGTCTTCAGTCATTAACCATATTTTTTCAAACACTTTGCACAAAGATTTCAAGATATGGCCTTGAAATGACAGCACTACTAAATACGATATGAGTGAGATCTACCAGCAGTTGTGATGCACCAAAGCCCTGTTTATGCTTTAGCTAGTTTCTTATTTTTGAGAGTGTGAATGAAACACTTTACAATTCCAGTAAACCCAGAATAGATCACACTGATCAGTGGAACATCACATTTCCACTGTAAGTGTTGACTGAAGACTGTCAGCTGAGACTGTTTGTGTTGGATTTTCTCCCCAGAGATGCTGGAGGAAGAGATCCAGGGCTCAGTGGTGATGTCATCCATCTTGAAAGAGACCTTCATCTGCACGTATAACGACCCTGGACCAAGACTGTGGGAGAAGGTGAAACACACACACACCCAAGTGTTTGCAGCCTCACCAAAACCTTATCCCTAACCTTAACTATAACAAATTCATGCATATCCCTAACCCTATTTTGCTCCTAACATTAAACAGAACCTCAAAAATTACCTTACAAACCAGTATATGATCCTTGTGTGGTCTCCTGGTCCTGACAACCAAGGTGTTTATGCTCCAAAAGGTCCTAAAGAGGCAGCACACACAAACTACATTCCTTGAACACCATTTTCTTAACCAAGTTGTTTCAAGGTTGCAAATTCATTCTTTCCCAAATCACAACATGTAATTCTAAACTTCTCACTTCTCTCCCGATGCACTTCTTTTTTCCTGTTTTGCTCTTGTCTCACATCATAAAGTGGGAAGACAGACTGGAAAATACAGAAGGGCAGCTCGGATCAATAATGCTGAGACGAGTGCTGTTTGAAGAGTCAGTAGTTTTGAATAGGAGCAGACAGAAAGCACATGCTGAGTCAGTAATGGTAGTATTATAAAGTGGATTTAAAGAGGTAGCAAAACAAATATACTGATCAGCACTCATCTTTGCTGCTGTCTTCAGCCGGTCCAATAGCTGCAGGCCTGTCTCTGGACTGACTCACTGGCTTGTTATTGTGTTTCCTGTCAGCAGGATTACACAGAAAGTAACAAACTGATTTGCACCAAACTTGGTGGAGGGATGAGACATGAGCCAGGGAAGAACTCATTAAACTTTGTCGCAGATCTGGTAGAAGGTGCGGGTACAGGAACTTTTCTTTTTTTTTATCACCCTCCCTATCATTGCTAGAAAGGGCTTTTTTTACTCAGGAAATAATTTATGAAGCAAGAGACAAATTTATGGTGATGAGATCTTTGAGTTTGTAAAATCTGTGCAGATGATCAGACTATTTCCTTTTTTCGTTTAAATTTCTATTACAAGATTGTTTGGCCTTGGCGGAGATACACACTATACTGCCATTCTAGTTAAAAGTGTATTTACACACACACACACACACACACACACACACACACACACACACACACACACACACAGACATATACAGTGATGGGGCTCTGGCAGCGTTCTAGCTGTCATTCTGTCCAAATGCTCTATTCTGGCTTCATTATCACTGGACCTGTCTTTACATGGGAGAGAGAACACAGGGTGCTGCCAGCTCAGGTCAAGGGGATGGAAAAGAGGTTTGTAAGTCATGTGTGTGCGTGTGTGTGTGTGTGTGTAAAACTGACCACAGTACATCAACACTGGAGCCACTTACCTAAAAACACTGAATCTGTGGCACAAAAAACGATCAATATCAGAATGTGCAGAGAGGAAAACCTGTTTTCTTTTTTACCTGTGGCACCAGGGTGCAGACAGACACATGGTACCTTTCTCACTCATAATCTCCTGTTCCAAGGATTAACAGTTCACCTGTCACCTTCAAACGATACCTCTCTCAGAAGTGTATAGTATACAGCAGGTGACACACATGTTGACTGCTTCCATTGGAGGACACATGAGCTTCGGTGATGTGCGTCTTAATTGTGAAGGGCCTGGTGGAGATGAAAGACCTCCTCCTCAGGGGAGTACAGTTTGAATCTGCTTCTGCCTCATGGATGCAGTGTGAGGGCCTTCTGAGATTCAATAAATTGTTGGAGATTAAGAATGAGTGAACACCAGAGAATAACTGTGGGTGGAATGATGGGTAAAGGTATGAGCATCAGTATGTCACTGCTCAGACCAGGTATCAACACGCATCCTGAGGGATCCAATCACTAGTGGTCGATGCTACGATCCAGATCTGAATGTGCCTGAATGCATCCTGTGATCAAGTCACTCAAGCGCATTTGGAGGTGGTCTAGGATGCATGTGGCTTTTTTGCTGGAGGAGCCACCAACCTTCTCATGACTGGAGGAACCACTCTACCTCCTGAACCACAACTGCACACGAAATGTGTAAATAAAACGTTTCTGCATGTAATTCAGCATTAGCCACTGCTACCATTATAGAAGACTGTGGATAATTAATTACAAGTGTTACTGACTACGCTGCCTTTGCCAACAGCTGTTGTGGAGTTAAATTCTGTATTTTAGAAAAAGACAATTTCATACATGTGTAGGAGCCAATTTTCTGATTCTGCTCAGCAGTTTTCTGTTGCCACCGGAGGAGGCTGTGGCTGCAGTGGTGACGTCTACAGCCTCGTCAGAACACCAGGAGACTTCACTGGTGTTATCGTCTCAGAAGAACAACCTGGTGGAACTTGTGGAGTTTAGAGCCTTGCCAATATCCCAGGAGACTTTGTCCATGGAGCCAAAGGATCCTGGGTCAGTGTAACTGCTGTCTGGCCCACATTAGAGTTTGGGGGGTGGTCAGACTGGATGAAGTAAGACAAACAATTGGTAAATCAGTCAGTGTCAGTTGAGTAAAGCCATCAGTCCATCCAACCTTTGTGTTTAAGTTCCCGTGTGAAACAACATGTGGTCACTTAGTCCGCTGCTGATGTCCTCTCTCAGGGGGCTCATGGAAATGAAGGGCTGCTGCAGAGCCTGACGAGGAGAGATCCTCTCAAACCCCCTCAAGATGCTCTAACCCCCTTAAGAGAGACACAAAGGCCATGCAGTGTCTCCAATTCTGGATGGATCTGGATTTGGTTTCAGGTCAGATGATCCAGCTCCCAATGGACAGATAAATGACTGGTACAGATCCAGTCTTTAAAACACATGAGAGAGTATTCACATGAATCAGGCCGTTCAGAGAGCTCAGCAGCTTGATAAAGCTGTTCTGTTGTCTTTCTCTGTTTTCATGTTGTTTGTAACGGTGAATTAGTCTGCTGTCTGAGGGACCAAAATAAAAAAAGCCAAAACATAAAATTCTCAAACAAAGAAGAACATTGTTGCTCTACCATCAGTCTCCATGATGAACCATCTTCAGCCTCCTCTTCAATGAAGAACAGCTGGTTGTACTTGCCAGCATGGAGCAGGCGGTCTTCCGGCTGGCTCAGCACTCCGACCATGCACTTCATCTGCAGACAGAATACACATTATGAGAGTCCCATCCACTTACGTTCTAAATGAATATGAAAAACAAATAAAATGTATTTGGTTAGATATATAACATTTGATATTCGCAGTCTATGGGGAACAGGTTTTAAGCCATGTACAGGAACGCCAGGACACACCCGACCCCCCACACTTCGATGGCCTCAGTGAGTGGAAGGCCAAGTGAAATTTCTGGAGCCCTGAGAAGGAAAGACATGAGGCAAAGATGAAAAACCTGTTGAAACATTTTCAGAGCAGAGAAAATAATGTGGCTACATGGCTGGACCTCCATGCCCAGCTGGACTTGGGGCACCATCATAGTGCAGCCAAAGTCAGTTAACTTCACCAAACAGGACGTTGTCTGGTTTGATGTCCGTATGCATGATGCCAAGATCTTTCAGGGCATCCAAGGCCACCAAGAGCTGCAGGGACAAAAAGCGTTTATTTTGCCATGTGCTGTTGTTGGGTGTCAGGTTGAGGTTTTGGGGCTCTCTGTAACGAAATAGTATATTTTTAATGATGCATTGATCGCTTCTACATACCTGCTTAGCAACTGGGCAGATTTCACATAGAGCAAGGGGCTTCCAGTGTCGCTGCCCTAGCAGCTCATAGAGACTCATTTCCAGCCTCTCAAACCCCAAGCAGGTCTGTTCCATTTGTAGGAATTGTGTGTGTGCAGTATCTCAGTGGCTTTATTGGACATCCATTGGGGCTGCTGACCCCAGCTAAGCTTCCTTTTTCTTCTGAACCACTTGTAAATGAGACAACACTCTCTCTCTCCTTGTCTCTTTTGTTCTTTCATCCATCTGTGTTCTCTCATTTTACTAAGTGATGCTGTATATTTCTGGCCTCATCTGGTCCGAGCAGCAACAACAGCCCCTCACAGGCTCTCTGCGCTAGTTATTTGTCCATCCATCCTTTCATCCCTCTCTTCCCCGCCCTCCTTGGCATGGCAGCCTGTCATTATTTCTGAGCTCACAGATTCAGACTTTAATTTTGGCCTGCTTGCTCCTCTGTATCCGGCCATTTGTAATCTGCTTTCTTCACAAGGCTCTGCTTTATATGTGTGTGTTTAGCGGTTACTGTGTTTGGCATAACCACTGGAGATTAAGGCTGCATGGATGAATGTATTTGCATCTGATATGTTCAGGCCGGGCATCTACCCGAGCCTGCGTCAGCATATTTTCTCTGTTTCTACTCCACCCTAAAACTATCTTTTTTTTCCCACCACACTGCAGCCATCATCGAACAGAGAAACTATTTGGTCCCTGAAGGGTGATTTCGTCTGAACCACAGAGATATCTGACATATCCAAATTTACAGAAACTTTCATGCAAACAGTGCAGTCAATCAAGTTGAGGTAAAGGATATTTTTATGCTAATTTGCATTTCCCCAAGCTGGATAAAAGAGGACAGAGGGAGGGAGCAACTGAAGGAGAAATAAACCTATTCAAACAAATGAATTCTAATGAAGCTTCCCAGACAAGACGTTTGGAG